AATTTTAAATCCTTTCTTTGTGCCCCTTCTCTGCTTCATTACTGGTGTCTTATGGCTTTCCAGATATCAGTGCTTTTCAAGTCCTGAATGATGTGGTACATAAATCTAGAGAATTCTGGGTTTAAACTGGAATGCAAATATAATGCATTGTCTTCATTTTCAGTGGATCTTCCATCTTTCCACTATTTCAACCTATTTTCTGTAAATTCCTTAGCCCTCTGATTATGTCATGATTTACTGGTGGCTAATCCTGAAACAGGAGGGGTTTTCACTTTCTCTGAATCAAGAGGTCAAATGGAGGCAGTCTCTTTTACACTAAAATGTGCAAAACTGTTCTGTTTTTCATTTTATGAAAAGCATATGAAAACTATGCAAAGTACTATACAACTTAATAAGCACTTCAGGTGGGTTCTGTTTTGTAGAAGAGAGTTCAAAGGAGTAGCACTAGTATAAACTGCTCTCACATTCTTTTTTCTTTGTAATACTTCACTGAGTTGATGTTTGGGATGTGGTATGCTCATTTCTTGGCAGGATTACTCTTCAAAATTTTACTTGTTTTTGTCTGTTTTCAGGAATACACTTTTATTGCCTAATACTGAAGTTGTTAGTTGGAGGAGCTTGTCTTCTGTCTCTTGTCACATGTAATTTTAGTTTAGCATTCCAACTTTTGTAGGCCTCCTTGATCACTTCATAAACCTTAACTGCTTCTCAAGTAAAATGCTGCCTTGGATGAATAAGCAGGAACAAGAGTCTAACCAGCTTAATTCCCTGTTCTTCTCTCCTGTCTGCCTCCCTCTCCTAGCCCAACAGCATAGTCAGATGTGTGAGAAATTCCACTGTGAAAGGGTTAATTTGAGTCCCTGCAGTCCCTGCAAATTAACACAGTTCTCCTAATGTAAGAATCAAAAATGCACTCTATGTATTCTGGTAAGCAAGTCTACTAGAACTCTTCATTACATCTCAAATGAAGAATGACAACAATTCAACTGATTGCAGCAGCCCTTCTTTAGGTTCCTGTTTTTAAAGATGGCATAGATGTCTGCCAGGACAGGTAATTGCCAACAAAAAAGAAGTGGGCTGCTTTATTTCCTGCTATTTTCTTTTAGCCCTTGTGATTCAGAAGACTCGTGTATTTTAATATACCAGTGTGCAGAAATTGAAGCTAGTCACTAGAAACAAGCTTGAAATGCTATCTCTTAGTGAAAGACTTACCATTTTTCAGTGATTCCCATTTTAAGAAATTGTTTCAAAAAACAAGGCACCAGGGTTAAAACAAGCTCTTTTTATCTCTTTTTAAATATGCTACAAGTCTTTAAATATACTCAACAAGCATGACGTTTTCGAAGTATCTTATTTTCTTTACACAGAATATCAAAAGCACTGCAGGAAATGCAACTATGGAATATAATTGATATGGAAGATAAAGATAAAGGCCACTGAGTTTTTATACAAAAAGAAGGGAGGGGGGGGGAGAAGCCTTTGCAGTTACTTATAGCTGAAAATTAAGTATTTTTCTGCTAAAATTTTGACATTTTTCCTGGAATTGCTGACACTAACATTTCATTTTTAGTTTATATTCGGCAGACTACTGTCATATTCACCACAGCTAACTTGAGCTCAGAAGAGAATCTGACCTTAGTTATCTGTAGAGGGGACTCCCTGGGCTTGCCCTGTAGTCAGCAGAGATGTTGGGAAGGATCATCTCCAGACCACAGCAGAGAGAGAACAGGGCAGTGTCCCACCCTGAATTGTACCCACTAGGACCTCGCTGCACTGGTGACACCAGGAATCCTGCAAAACAGGGCTCCTTCAAGTGGAGATGGTCTTTATGAACCTATTACACATATTTCTTTCCTTACCCATCTTTTTCTTTCTTTGGCTAACAGCTTGATGCATCAGTTGTTGGAAGTTCTACATCCCACTGCTTCTTGTGAAAAGTTCTTGAAAGTGGAGCGTGGTGATTAGGCCATTCCTTTTTCTACCCCCAAAATACATTTATCCCAGCGTGGATGGGGTGAAATACACGTACACACTTCCTTGTTGAGAATAAACATTCTGCATCACCTTTGGTCTGTCTAGTGTTACAGTTTTGTCAGGGTGGCGGGGAGGAAGATGCTTCAGCTAAAATTCAAAGCTGTTAAAGACACTGATTCTGATTCTCTGCTCCATTACACATTTTTCACACTGATGTAACTCCACAGGGCTTCTTTGTCTCTTCCTTGTCAGCTGATAACAAGTAAGAAGAATGTAAATGGCCTGTGGCATCAGGCCCATGTAGCAGGCGATAACACAGTATTGTTTGGTAGCTTTATGGCTACTTGTGGAGAATCATCTGGCTGAGGAGGTTAACTATTATCAACTTCACTATTAACTGTTAGAGTTTTAAGACAGCAATTACCACCAAAAGCCAATAGCTGCTGTGTCAACAGTTATTAGTAGAATTGGAGGTAAACTTACTGTTAGCAATATTTATGACAGGAAATACTGCTTGTCTTTATTTGTCAGTAAACATTGGCTTTTAAATAACATGAAAGATTTTATATAGATTTCTATGTATTCAAGTTTCTAGGAATACTTTAATGTTTATTTTCTCCTGTGTTAACGCGCAAGTTAAAGTTGAATCTGATGAATTAGGTGTTCCAGTATTAGATTTATTATTTGAGTGTGTAAAAATTCTTGAAAATCTGTATCTTATCAAACTGAGCTTTCAGTTCTCCATTTTACAAATTGTGGAAGGAAATTTCCATTGTTAGAAAAGTCTCAAGTCTTCCCCTCACAGTTACAGAGAAGAGCTCTTAGAACGAAGAGGTGGGATGCTCAGCAGGAGTAGGAGGTGTAATCAGACTGACTCGCCATGAGGACTTGTAGGGGTTGATTTGTAGCCAGTATCTGCAAAATCAACTGCAGGGTTCAGTTTGCAAACACTATTGCAAACCAAACCCTGCAGGGTTTGCACGGCTCCGGTTACTATTATTGCTCCAAGTAAGGCTTATTATCCTGTCACAGTAGCTGTAAGAAAGTCCGTCTCTCTACTTTAAACATGATAAGCCTTTGTCACCTACATTGCAATTAATGTTAAAAATAGCAGAGCGCCTATGATAAGATTGTGACTTGCAGGCAGCGAGCCATTGTCCAAGTGCCGGAGACTTATCTGGAGGGGCAGTGAGCCTGCACAGCACTGTCAGTTCGCTGATTGCCATTTCTCTCAGAGTTTGATGAAATATTCATGTCTTTGCTCTGCTCTCTGCAAGCACTATTGATTTCTTGTATAAACGCAGCTATATTTAGTCTAGACAAATGGAATGTGGATTGCTGCTGAATAAATGGGATGAAAGGCTGGGGCTTTGCCTGTCCGTTTCTCTTGGTCTGGGGCAATTATTTATAATCAAGAGTAGTTTTTGTAAGTTAAAGGTGATTTTTTATAATTTAGCGATTAGTCTCAGAACAAAAGTAAGCACTTAGACACAATCATTCTATTGGGATAACAGGTTAAGAAGACAAATTATGCTCTGAGGTTTACAATCACAGTTGCTAGGATTAAAAAAAAAAAAAAAAAAAAAGAAAGAAAGAAAAAGAAAAAGAAAAAGAAAAAGAAAAAGAAAAAGAAAAAGAAAAAGAAAAAGAAAAAGAAAAAGAAAAAGAAAAAGAAAAAGAAAAAAAAATCCCCTAGCAAATGTTTCCAGAATATTGACCATGAGGGAATATGGTCAGTAAAAGAAATTCATTGCCTCACATTTTTTTGTAAAAATATGTTGTATATTTGTATATTTTATGCCAGTAGGTGTTATTGTGCAGTAGAGTTCAGTTCTGTCTGTTTGCTACAGTTTCGACTTCTGCAGCTTTACTGCTCCTGTTTGCTAGATTTTTTCACTGCTTCCCTTTAGTTTTCTCGTGGAATACAAATACAGGTATAACAGAATAAAATGAGAAAAATGTGTAGTCTGGTCATTTCCTGACATCATGTTTGTTTCTAGTTAACAATCTTCTTTTTCTGGTTGAGTAGCAGGAATTGCAGTTAATGTGTTTGTATTCCACTGTCCTCTAGTGGATGGAATCAGAACTGCTAAGCACTGTCGCAGACCTGTGCTATTTTCCTCTTGTAAAAATGATACTTGCTAGTTTTTTTGTTCTTTTTTAACAGGTACAGTTATGCTCTGTCTCATTTCTTAATATGAAAACATGAGTTTTAAAAGTATTATAGTGAAAATCATCAAATCTCTCTCTCTTCTGCTGTTTTTCCGTTCTTTCTGTTTAAGTCAGGAGATGGAAGCCCACAGGCTTCTTCATTCTTCACTTTAATGATGGATTAATAATATATACCATTATGGCAGAAAATTGAAATAATCTAACATGTTTTAATTTTCTTGCAAGACATGCATAGAGTACGGTGTCTAATCTACTCCAAGCACAGTGGTGATTTTCCAAAAAGCTGTATTAATCCTTCTCATGTTGTGTGTCCAATATTCTCCTGTAATTTCATGTGTGTTACTCCTGTGGGTTTGCTACAAGGCCAGGTATATTATATGCAATAGCTATCTGTCTGTAACACCATCTTTGGATAATCTACACGCTAGCTTTCTATTTTAGAAAATGTCTTTCAACCCAGAAAGAACTACAAGCCTTCACATCAAGCTGAAGAAGTGCCCAGAGCACTTTGTTGTTAAGCATTCATAGAGTCTGGGAGGTTCTCACTAAATAATGCTCCTGAAGGCTGAGACATGGTTTTAGAAGTGAATTGGTTGTTAATCTATTTAGCAGAATATTAATCCAGGATTATTCTTTCCAGACATTTTCTGGAAAATGATAAAATGGTTTGGAAAATCTCTGGTTGCTAGTAGAAATATTAGAAGTTTGCATACTGTATAGTTTTCATAAATGTTGGCTATGTACATTGAAGGAGTCTTTGAGTGAAATTGTTCTTTTACCCAGTAAGAATAATCTCTATTCTGCTTCTCCAGTTATATTTAACATGTATATATTTTGTTGTTTTCCTTTCTCAGTGGATGTGAAGTCGGAGGTTCCTGTGGGATTAGAGCCTATCTCACCATTAGACTTGCGAACCGATCTCAGGATGATGGTTCCCATGGTGGACCCAATTATGCGTGAAAAGCAGCTACAGCAGGAACTACTTCTGATCCAGCAGCAGCAGCAAATTCAGAAACAACTGCTGATTGCAGAGTTTCAGAAGCAGCATGAAAACCTGACCCGCCAGCATCAGGCCCAGCTGCAGGAGCACATAAAGGTAGCAACATTTTCAATTTTTCCCTCAGTATATTAGCAAACTGAATATGCTGAGACAGACTCAGCTAAAGGGAGTGTTCCTGTATCTATGAGATGGAGTGTGAGTGCTTTTTCCTCTCTGTTTGGGTAACAGAAGCATGTTCAAGCAAAATAACTGCCAGCAAGTTGTTCCCAGCAGATCAAAGTTGTATTATAACACTCCCCAAACTCTTGAAGCCTGTAAATCCACAAAAAATCAAACTACCAATTTCACAATGTTAAATTTTCAGCCTGACTTCAATATGGCTGTCTTTTCAGTGTGAACAATTTTGAGTATATTAAAAGACTGCTTTTTTGGCTGCTGTCTGAATTTATACCCACAAATCAAATCAATAGACAAGTACATAACATTTGCATTTGTAAAACAGAGGTAGGCCAAGCAAACTTTGTGTTTTCACCCTTCTCTTAGCTGCCTCACATAACATTAAAAAAAAAAAAAAAAAAGATTTGTGCAATGGTAGGACTGCTATAATGGATTTTGGCTGTGAATTCATGATCTTGCCTTTCTTTTTATTTATACTTTTTTTTTCTTCTGATCTACTTGCTGTTATATTACCGTGCTAAATTTCCACTGGACAAAGCTGACAAATGCAGCTGAGCACAGCAGCCAGGATTTGGTGACACACTGGCAAAGTGCGTTATGCAGTTTCCATGCATTTTTGCCAAAAGAGGAAGATGAGTAACTACAGCAGCCAGCTGCTACCTGATAGTAGAGTTCATTTTAGTGACAGCTGGTAATGCACTATGCTGCTAAAAAGACTGGAAAGGCAGTTAGGAGGTAAAAAGAAGTGTAAGCACACAGAAAAGCACTAATACTCAGTTATTTAAGGGGGTTATTTTGGCCAGGATTGACCTAGAAAACACTGCAAACTGCATTTTCTCATGTCTTTTTGTTCTGTGCAAGCTACAACAGGAACTCCTAGCCATTAAACAACAGCAAGAACTTCTTGAAAAAGAGCAGAAACTGGAGCAGCAGAGACAAGAGCAGGAGCTGGAGAGGCATCGCAGGGAACAGCAGCTTCCTCCTCTCAGAGGCAAAGAAAGAGGTCGAGAAAGTAAGCACCAATGTACCGTGAACCCTAATATGAAATTAATATATTCCCTTATATCTTCTTGCAGCTGCAGTGGACAATGAACAGGGATCTGAAGCAATTCTATTATTGTATGAAATATGCAACTATAGAGTAGTCAATGCTGTGCTTGCAGAAAGGCAGAGCCACCTGTTGCACCCACAAAAACACACTGCTCTTCTGTGTGCAGATTTGCAGAACTTCAGGAAAGCACCTTCTTGGCAGACCTGCATATATGCCTCTCAAGTAGCTAGCTATTTTTATAAAATCAGAAGGAATTTGAAAGCATAAAGCTTCACTTGAGAATTTCTCTCTGAAGAGCTTATTTCTCGATACAGAAATCACTACCAAACAGCATGCCATGTTACTGATCAAGTAATTTGAGCATTGTCTGAATGTCTTTCAAGTCTGAAAATATAACAAAGTGTTTAAGAATACCTTAAACTGAGACATCTAAATACTTCTGCCTGAGTTATAAGACCAATGTTTTCAAACTGCCTTGTGTTTGGTTTTGATACCATTTCATGAGACCCAACAAAGAGTTATTTGTAGCTAATACATATCTGTAAGGTAAATGACAGATAAAAAGGATGCTGTTGGAATTTGGTGTTCACTAGAGGGAGACAGATACAAATAATTCTCTTTTGTCAGGTCAGCTTAAAAATTATGTTGCAAAAATAGATTGTGAATGTATTTAAAATGAAGATGCCACAAGGAGACACTGTTATTTGGCCTCCTAGTTGAGCAAAATATATTAACTAACAGAGACAAAACGAGAAAAGTGTTGTACATAATGCTCAGGGGGATCGTACACTCTTGCCTTTTTTTCTTGGGTGGAAAACTATTAGTTCAACAGCTGTGGGTATACCATACTGTAGACTAGAAATTAAAGTGTCCATGGTCTTACATTACTTTGGTAAACAATGAATCCCTGAGAGCATTATATCGCTGTCAAACAGAGCTTTCAAATAATTCTTGTTTAGGTGGCAGCAGTGGTGTTATTTTCACATTCTTTGGGGAAAAGCGAGGGGTAGATCTGTTCCTCTGTCTGCAGAAAGCTTTTTTGGTGGAGCATTAGCAATCTGAAGTTGTTCGTCTATCCTCCTCAACCTGGTCTAGTCGGGTTCCTTGCTCTCTGCAACATTAATAATTTTCAAACCACCAGCCTAATGACCCAGAAAGGCAAGGGTGGAAGAAGCCCCAAGGATCCTATAGGTAGTGTGAAAATCAGCATCCATACAAACAGTTGGACTTCATTTACACTTATGCCAGAGGATGGGCAGCAGTGTGAACTCCATGGTTCCCTTTACAGTTTGATTTCTAGCAGCACTTGTGACCCCCAAGCCCAGCCCCGGCATATGATGCTGCTTATCTACTTAATGAGTAGAGGAGGGAAGAAACATACAAAAAGTGGAGTTAGGATCTGAAACTGAGGGGTAGTAGAGATATTTTATGGGAACAAGGTCACTGGGGGACATGCTCACCAGCTAGCTGTGCTGTTGGGTAGCCAAATACTTAGAGTATCAGTATTCCCTGGTGCTACTACTTTCAAAGAAACATTTTTTTCTTCCCTTTTTTATCACTGTTTGGGGAAAACTGAAATAATTTTTGTTTCCTTTTTTATGTCCTTTTTTCAAAGAATACTATGACTGAGTAAAGAAGCCTGCCCCATGCTGGAAGTAGGAATCAATAGTTTAACCTGACACTGACGTGCCCTGCTGATTTTGCTCTTTTGAGCTAGTGACTGAGAGAGGTCAAAATACAGTGTGTCTTCTGTTATGTTGTCTTTCTGTCATTTTTGTGACATAAGAGTAGAGTTATCAACTGCAACATGTTTCTGTAGTCCATCTTTCAGACATCACAGGTAGAGGCTCTTGAGTGGCATGAATAAAAAGGCTCATTTTTGACTCATTTTTTACAGAATTCTGCTCATAATCAAACTGTTCAAAGGGCAGATTTGCTGTGCTATTACTATCTTTTTACAAAAAGAAAAACCAGTCTTCACTGCTTACTCAAAATGTCCTTTTGTTTTTAGTTCTGTCATTGATTTTGGATTTGGGAATTATTAGGAAATGCTCTAAATTCTTTAGATATATCTGGTCTTGGATAACTGGCCTCATCTACTGATGAAAGATTCTTTTATGACTTCACTGGATTTTTGGGTTACGACCAACTTCAGTCATCTATAGATAAACACTAATCCAAATGTTATCTCATTTTGACTGATTTACACCAATATTTTTTTAATTTACAGCACTTTCAGCAGCAAGGATATGGACTGTTTTGTTTGTTTGTTTGTTTGTTTGTTTGTTTTTTGTTTGTTTGTTTGTTTTGTGATAGATTTTTTGTTTTCTTTAAAAATGTAATTTTTAAAGTAAAAATTAGATATGTTTAATTCTGTGTGTCATAGGGGCAGTGGCCAGTACAGAAGTGAAGCAGAAACTTCAAGAGTTCCTGTTGAGTAAATCGGCAACAAAAGACTCTCCAGCAAATGGGAAGAATCATTCCATGAACCGCCACCCCAAGCTCTGGTACACGTATGTTCAGTGTTAGGCTATTTCCTTCCCCTGTTGAGGTATCTACTTAAACTAGTCAGAAAGATCCTCCAGCAGGGATGCTAAGAGTTTAACTCCAGAACAAGATGAAAATTCAGCCAAGAAGTTAGCAAAAAGTTTGACATATCTTGTTGAACTGAAGAGTACTCAGTGGGCAGTGACAACATGACAGCTGTACAGAACACAATGGTGTCAGAAATTTGTATAAACCTTTTATTTAAACTGCTTCATCTCTTGATGCTATCATGATTTTCCAATTACACTTGATATTTTCCCAAGTCTCTTCAATTTTTGCACTTAAAACAATTTGTCTTTGATCTGCTTGGATTTTGAATCAGTGACAAAACTTGTTTCTTCATGAAGAGACGGCTTCCAGTGAAGTTATTTGTATGATGTAAGTAAGTCACAAGGATTTTGAGAAGGATAGTGTTTTTTTTAACTTCTCTAACTCTGATGGATTTCAGTGTCCAAAACTACATATTCTGACAATGGCTTAGCATTGATAAGAACCTGCTTAGGCCACTGAAACAAGTGATTTTGTTGGGTCCTGTAATGCATATACTACTATTCTAAGAGTTAATTTATTTTCTTTATTTTTAACTAATTAATTCCTTACTAACTTCCTCATTACAACAGACACATTCTTTTAAGTCATTAAATAAAATAATAATAAAAATATCTGACTGCATTTCCAAAAGATTTCAACATTATCCCCAAGCTGGCCTTCAATAGGACAAACAGAAATGCATATAGTACATTAGAATTTTTTCTAGTACTTGTTCTTTTTAAAAAGAATTACTGAAGGAGTTCCCATTTGGAGCTAATCAGAACATTGTGGTAACATGATTTAATACACAGTTACATTGTTTCTGGTGGAGATAGAATAAATAATTTCTTCCAAGTAATGTGAAAATTCTCTTGAGTAAGATTTCTGGAGTAATAGTGTGAGCTTAGTTCTGAGTTTTCAGATGGGTGAAAACTAGAAGCTCTACAGAGGGATGTCTTCTGCTACGCTAGGGAAAGTAGTGCCTCATTTCAGTAGTGACTCTCTTTGACAGAGACATAGTATTACTGGATTAGCCACATTACATTGAAAACAAAGGGAGAGGCTCTGTAAGAGGCCAAGTAAAATGAGGTTTAGATAAATACAAAGTATGAAAGTTTCCCTCCTTTTCCCCTCTTTCCCTCTAAATAAAAATATCAACCAAAAATAAAAACCTGTCTCTAGGCCAAATGATGCAATTTCTTTGCAATTTGCTGTTTCCACATCCAGAAAGATCTGCCCACACTATTTCCTTCATTCAGCAATTGTCAGCAAGTGTTCTTCAGTTTGGAGCTTCTCTGCTGATGTGAATGCTATGTGCTGCAGTGGTGTACTCAGAAAACTTCCAAAATGAAATTAAATGCAAGGATTTAGCTTCCCCGTCTCCTCTTGTCTAAATAGTTAGCACTTTTTTTTCAACAGATAGTAGTAACTCATTATTTTTTTCTGTTTTACATACCAACAGCACCTTCCACCCTCACACACACATACATCCCACCCTGAAAATCCACCCACGTTTTGTTAGAAAAGGCTGGGTCAATACACATCTATTTGTACGTAATAAACAAGACTTAAATGGCTTGTGCTGTGCTTCAGATGGTTCATATTAAAATGCAACAATCTAAAATGGTCAATTCCCCAAACTGGTGACAGATCCTGTCTGTAGGTCAACATGACTCTTATCCTATGTGACTTTTATAATGAGTGCAAAAAGCACATTCTTGGGAATCCCGAGGAGTTCCATAACTTACTGTAAAAGTGAAATTGGTTACATGAGCCTGTGGTTTGTGCACACTTAGAGGAACAAGAACATAAACACAGCTGAGACATGTGTACAACATGTGTAGATAGTTACTGCTGGTCACCTCAGCGACTGCTAATTTGTGACCCCTCTGTGTCTGCTGCAGGGCTGCCCACCATACCTCACTGGATCAAAGCTCTCCACCCCTGAGTGGGGCCTCGCCACCGTACAAATACACTTTACCAGGAGCACAGGATGCCAAGGATGATTTTCCACTCCGTAAAACGGGTGAGTTAGAGTAGTTTATTCGATCCTCTTACCCAGTAATTCTCCCACCCTTTATTTTAACCAGGCTATCCACCAGCAAGGCATATATCATAATCCACAAAGCCTGTTCAGGATGATGCTAAGGGTAAGTTCAAAGATCCTGACTGTATCTTTACAACGTTGGATTGACCACACGGTATCAAGAGTCAGTATTTCCCAACACTAACAGCTAGTGCAAGCTTCAGTCCTGATAAGTGTAGTTTCTAATCAAACCATCATTTCACAGATCTTTATGATACTATTTTCTTTATCTCAGTATAACTTCTGGGTTTAATAACTGTCTCTCTTTTGCATGGTAGATACAGTATCTGTCTTCAGATGGTATGGTGCCTTTAGACAAAGTTTTTCAGGACATTGTGAGGGGAATTCATGGAAAGAGGTGAAATTGGAATAATATATTTTGTGACCTTGATTGCCAAAGTTTATATGTGTATCTACATACACACACATATACATGCACACATTTGTATGTGTTTTTTACACATAGGAATGTATAATAATTTACAATAGAATGTTCATTTGAACATTTCAGAATGTTTCAAAGGATTTAGCAAATGAACTGTTTTTCTTGACAGCAGGTGAACTGTAGACTTGTCTTTTTCTGCATCATAAAGCTAGAAGGATGATGGTGGAGGCCATGTGGCTATTGCCTCAGGTCCTTGGTGCAGTGACCGGTATCCAGGAATGCAGGGATACACTAAGAGGGGAAAAAAGAGAAAGAAAAGAAAACATTAGATCGCTTATTGCATGAGTCTGCTGTTGAGTGATATAGTTACATTCAGAGGGAAAGTCTGACCCCCTACTGTGCTAATAGCCTTTGAATGTGATTTAGCCACTGGGAGACTGAAAACTCACTGCAAAACTGGTATTGACTTGAAAAGAAGCGGCATTTGGAAGCAGTATGCATTCAGAAAGAAAACCCAGTCTGCATCTAATACTTTGGGGCAGACTCTCTAAGCTCATGTTATATCCCCAAATATTTTCGAAAGAATGACAAGCAAAATGCTAATTTATTCTGGGTGAATTATTTAATGTGATCTTTGTACAATATGTGGTAATATAACAAGATTCTATAAAAATGTGATTCAGGCGATTTGGTCACAATAAGCCCTTACATGCCTCTCTGCTTAATACTACTGTACAACATATATGTTCTGTGCCAATAGGCAATACATTTTCATTTTTTAAACAAAACAATACACTCTACATCTTTTAAATGCTGTGAATTTATCTACATGTTTTTGAAATGCAAGTTTTAATTTTTCTTCCATGTTTATATATCTTAAATGTTATGATTGATATTTATGATGTGTCAGACTGTTGATCTGTAAAACAAAACATTTTCAAACATTGTAATAGTAAAGTTCTCGTGCAGCTGCTAATACTTTTATATCTCTGTGGGGGTTTCAAAATATTCCTTAATTCAATTCCCATTGTCTGCATAAGAGGACTATAATATAATTAAATCCAGATGTTTTCTATACGTTATTCCAAATATTTGGGCATGCAGTGCATCAGTTACAAAATTGGATAAAGGACTTGATGACTCTCTGAAAAGATATCTACAGAATAAATAGACAAATACTAATATAATCATTAGCCTAACCATTTTTATGTCATTTACATAGTGAATTTGATAAGCAAATAGAAATGTAGTGTCCAGCATATTGTATGTTAGCAAGGGTAGGTATTTGATAGCTCTCTGCAACCATGAAAGTAGCAACTGTTAAATGTCCTGTTTACAAGTTCAGTCTCTCTCTATCCTGGAGTTGTAATTCCAGCCTTCAGCAACATCCCCACAAATGTTCCAATGATTGTTCATCAGGTTGAGAGTAAAAGCAACAGGAACCAGATTGACACAAATCAAATGACCCTAAACTTATCTGAGTGGTTATAGGGCCATCCTCCAGGCAGAGGGGACATTCTGGAGCCTGTGTCATCCTCATGGGACCTTACTAGACAAAGATGTCCCACGAACACTCGTATATGGACAGGCTATAAGCCTGCAGAAATCTGACCTTTGCCACAAGGGGTGAACCTCTTTTCCTTTCCTTTGGGCTATGAACACTTATTGCCACTGGCTCCTGGTAAACCCTCTATGGTGCTGAACCTGCATGAAGTCAGTGATTCATGTGAAAGTAAACCTCACATTCTTTTCAGTTTTTGGAAAGGAATATATATTTTAAGGCTTTAATCACAGTTTTGGTTTGCTTCTCTCTCTCTCTCTTTTTTTTTTTTTTTATAAGCATAATCCAGAATATAGAGGTATCTTTCTTTTCTCCAACTTTGATGTAATGCCCTTGGAAGACAAGTCTGATTGGATTGATTGCTCTAAGATCAGATTAATGAGAAGCAAAGCTGAATGATTCTTTCCTGACATCCTGATATGTTATTCACTACCAAGGGAACACTGAGTCTCACACAGGCATTGCAAATCCTCAGATTTTCTTGCTTTATTACTCAGTAATCTATTTAACCTTGGCTTAATTAGTCCTGAAGTGGCATCTCCTTATTAATCTTTTTGAAATGGATGTAGATAGGCCATGGTTAAGATGAAAATATTCTGTCCAGTTTTTATTCTTCTAACATCTAGATTAATAGGACACATAGGTAACTAGGGAAGAGCATAACAATCTTGCTGTCTATGTTTACAGTGAGGTACCAGGGTTAACATCCTAGTGCAGTGGCTGTGGTTACTCTGTACCTCTCATCCTTTCTTTCCAGGATGCAGCAGAACTTGTCAGCAGCAGGCTTCAGAGAGCTTTGCTGCATGGAGAACTGGGGCTGTCCTAGGGGCTCAGATACCAGGACATGCAGCTTTGCACAGCTGCAATCTGATGCTCTGTGCTGACAGACTTTCAAAAAGAGCAGAGCAAGGGAAGCTATTGCTTCATTGAACAGATAAATACATTATTAGGAGAAGCTACATATCTGTAGCTGAGAGCAGAATTTGACCCAAGTAGTGTAAGAGCAAAGTTTTAAAATGCCCAGGACTTCACCATGGATACCTGTTGTAACATGTAAGTTTTCTGCAAAGCACCCAAAAGCCTGAGCAGCACATGGCTCATTAACTTTCAATGAGACTAATGTGTCTAAATTACCCAGAGAGGTTTGAAAATTCCTCCCAGCTACTGAACACTTTTGAAATTCATACTGACTGCTATAAGAGCTCTAATGGGAGCTGTGCACTTTGAAAACCTGATCATTTAATATAGGGAATTTTTGATTGCTGAACTCCATCATTCAATTGTCTATCTATCTGGGAAAATATCTGCTTGAAGAGGTTTCTGTAAAGCTAGCAAAACTTTTTTTTTTTTTTTTTTAACCTTTTTGAAATAAATGCAGAAATTCTGGCAAGTGGCCATAATATTTGCATTTTCTTTAATCTGTAACATTTCATTTTCTGTATGCAAGTGTTGATGCAAACCAGCAAAGGCCAGTAAATGACAATAAAGGTTAGCTCCCTAACCAAAGATGCATGCTTTTCTAAAATGTTGCTAGTGATAGAATTTCTGTATTTTGCCTCACATTTTCTCTCTTGGTGGAAGAAATTTCCAGGGACATCAGAATATAAACTTTTTTTTTTTTTTTTTCTTTCATGAGTTTAGTACAATCATGAATGGGAATGGGAATCACTATTTCTATTTGTTTTGGTTTTATGCCTGTCGAATCTTTCTTTGCTTATGGAACTTGTAAGCTTACATCTCATATTTTGCTCAGGGATCTGAGGAACACTCACAATAGCACTATTTGAGAAGATGTTTGTGGCTCACTTTCCAAAAATTGGAAGCATGCTCAATGGAAATGTAGAACTTTTTTATTTTTTTTATTTTTATTTTTAAATACCAAATAGTACAAAGTTCTAGCTTGGAGGGGGAAAATTAGGTAATTTCATACAGGAAAGGAGATGAAGGATTGCTTAATATCGTGATGAAAGGGAGGAAGAAGGCTGTGCTGCACAGTCATCAAGATCACTTTGTAAAAACCACGTTAGGTTAACCTGATTAGGCCGTAGAATAACAGCATAGCTGTTGTGTAATAAGAGTGAAAGATTTCTGAATGAGAACTTGGTACATGTAGGTTTTTGATTAGTTTAGTTTAGTTTTGTTTTGTTTCAAAGAAGAAATTAATTCGAATATGTCCTTACCATCATTCTTTCTGCACTTAGTGACTCAGTAATTTACTGGAGCAGTTGAAACTGGAAGAACATGTGAAATGGTTTTCTCCTCTTCCCTTTCATGACACCAAATTTCATTTCTGTTTGCCTTTTCTAGGAAAACACTCTCCTGTGAAGTAAGAGCGTATGAAAAAGCTAGATTTCTTTTGGTCTCCAGTACAAAAAAATAGGCGTAGAGGATCACAAACCCTCAATTATCATGTCTGCCAAAATGAAGAAGTCAAGCTCAGTAGAGAGAGTCATTATTTTTCTCTTAGTTTATGAGCAAGCACAACAAATGGGAGAGGCACTTTCTTCATTGAAGCAGGGAAAGAAGGCAAACATGATATAATTTTCCTAATTTTATTCTTCTTTTCAGAGATGCTAAGCATTCCTGTTTCCTGCAGTCCTTGGTTTCCTTAGTTAATGAGCAGTCTTGACAAATTTGGGCTAGGTGATTTGACTGAAGAAAATCACCAGCATTTACCACAGTGTAAGATACAAAAAAAGAGGTATCCTGATTGTTAGCCCTTCTTTTTTTGACTTCTGTTCCCATATAATTCACTAAATTCACTATCAATAAGTTGAAAGCAACTTTCACTCATAGTTGAAGAGTGAATTTGAAGTAAACTGTTGCTGGCAGCTTCTTCTGGATTCGTATAATGGATAGACCAAAGTTGAGTTCAGCCCTTGGAAGCCAACAGCTCTAAGGAAATGTAATACTGTTGTAGCTACCACACCGTGCTGCAGCCATCGTCCTAGGTCCCTCAGAGTTCTGTACAATGGGGGTGAGAAGCAGTACTGT